AATCCCGCCACCTCAGCTTCCCAAGTAGCTGGGACCACAGGTGCGCACCAGCACGCCCGGCTAATTTTTGTATTTTCAGTAGAGACGGGGTTTTGCCATGTTGGCCAGGCTGTCCTCGAACTCCTGACCTCAGGTGATCTGCCTGCCGTGGCCTCCCAAAGTGCTGGGATTACAGGCATGAGCCACTGCGCCCAGCCTATTTCACATTTTTCACCTGATTATCTAGTCTAGCAAAATGATGTGGAACTTTCTGGAGTCTTTTGCAAGCACAGCTTCTGTTGGTCCAATAATCAGACCTCAGTGAAATATAATACCATTTCTTAAATCCAAAATTAGGGCCTTCATAAAACACAGTAGCAGGGGCAAAATGAATTCCAAGTTGCAGTGAGTAGATATGGTGCTCAAGGCCCTCATTCCCAGGAAATCTGTAGGCTCCAGGCAGCACCACCTCACTTGTAGACCTTACTGCTGGCTGAATGAGTGTACCATCTTGACTATATTGGATTGGTTTTAGAATATTTCACACAATTAGGTTTTAGAAGGAGGGAAACAGAATTAACTTTGCTTTTTGTTCTCCATTCCAAACTGTCCTTAGAGCGAATGGTATATGTCTAACCCTCAAGTGAATTGGGGCACTATCTGGTACAATTCTTCAGAAACCTCCTCGGGAAAATATTGATAACACCCTCTAGCTGGCTTCTCCAAAGAATATGAACCCCTGGGGCATAGATTCATTCATATAATCATGTGATTTTTTTTTTTTTCTTTTGAGACGGAGTTTCACTCTTGTTACCCAGGCTGGAGTGCAATGGCGCGATCTCGGCTCACCGCAGCCTCCGCCTCCTGGGTTCAAGCAATTCTCCTGCCTCAGCCTTCCAAGTAGCTGGGATTACAGGCACGCATCACCACGCCCACCTAATTTTTGTATTTTTAGTAGAGACGGGGTTTCACCTTGTTGACCAGGATGGTCTCGATCTCTTGACCTTGTGATCCACCCACCTCGGCCTCCCAAAGTGCTGGGATTATAGGCTTGAGCCACCGTGCCTGGCCATCGTGTGATTTTTGAAAAGGATTTGTGAGATATAGTATCAGTTATGAATACAGGACCACTTCCATATTTCCCTTGCAGCTCTCACTGGGAACAGTTTGCATGACCTTCCACAGTCTGAGCTGGGGTGTGATTTGGGAAATGTTCTGCAGCTTCTCAGGGTTAGCCATCTCCTTAAGCCTGTGGACCCATATGGGAAGAGTTTTTGCCTGTGTGTCATGAACAACATTTACATTGGAAGCTATCCCTTTGATTTCCGAGCTATACAGCTATGCTGTCTCATTGATCAAAGCCATACAAAATGCCACATTTTGTTCGGTAATGAGGCCCAGAGAAGAGCTGGATGATGGACTCCACATGTGAGGCTGTGCTGCTGCCTGCCATCCCAGAAAGCCTCAAGATTGCCGTTGCTGAGGCAGCCGCCACAACTCCCTGATGTAATGAACAGAGCTCTCACCAGGCTGCTGATTCTGTTTATGAGGCCTGAAGCTCTGAACTATGACGATGTCAGTGGTAAGATGTGCTTTTAAATAATGTGATCAGTTTGCTCCATCAACTCTCTCGGTCTTGGTGGAACAGGAATGAGGACAGCCCTTGTTTGGGCTGATGTTTGAGCCATGCTGGAGACAGCAGGCTTGTGTTTAGGGTCTCTTACCTTGAATGTCTCAAGATTTAATGAAGATTTCCCCGAGAGAATCTCAGAAAATAAGCAGGCTGAGGTAAAGCTTTTAAATATTCCCCCAAAACATTCATTGTAAGGAGAAAGTTTGGGTGGAGCACCTGTAATCTCAGCACTTTGGGAGGCCAAGGTGGGCAGATCGCTTGAGTTCAGGAGTTCGAGACCAGCCTGGTCAACATGGTGAGGCCCCATCTCTAAAAAAAAAAAAAAGAAAAAATGAAAATTAGCCAGGTGTGGTGGCACACACTTGTAGTCCCAGCTACTTGGGAGACTGAGATGGGATGATCACTTGAGCCCAGGACGTCGAGGCTGCAGTGAGCCGTGACGGTGCCACTGCATTCCAACCTGGGTGACAGACCAAGACCCTGTCTCAAAAAAAGAAGAAAGTCTGCTTAGGATTCCAGGTAGCAGCTCAATTCAGCTGCATCACAGGAGCAAATGGATTTACATTGTTCAGTGTAGTCATTTTCCTCCTCTCCTCTTTAACTTCCCTTTGCCCTTCCCTCTTTTCCCTCCCTTCTCTCTCCTTGCCTTTCCTCTCTCTAGCAGCTGCACTCCATCCAGAAGATATGCTCAGGTAACAGTAAACAGGCAGCAGACAGGCCAATTCTAGCAATAGTATACTTTATACAGCTACAAAATATCCAAATATACTTTTATAGCTTAGAACTATGAGCACTGCAAAGAAATCCTGCCAGAACTCCAAGGAACAATGAGTACACACTAACATTAACATGTAGTTTCCCTTCCTAGGAACCCCGCTATGTATAGGAGCTCTCTCTTCCGGTCAAACAGGTCTGCCCACCATTCCCTAAACACATCTCACAGCTTCCTGTCACCTAGAATGTTTGTCCCTCCATCTCCTTTATGACCCACGTCCAAGTCTGCCTTTCTGTTAAACCTGCCCTTTTCTTCTGTGTCTGAACTTCTGGCATCTCATATCTGCATATGGCATTTAGGAGAAACTCCCTTGTAGTTACTCAGGTGAGTGTCTCATCTGTCCTGTTAGCTTAGGATCTTCTGGAGTCAGGGACCACCTCTAACTCAGATTCTCAGTGGAGCCTTGTAGAGCTCACCAGTTGTGATATAGTGGCCAAGTGAACAAGTTGAGGAGCCAGAATGCCTGGGTTCAAATCCAGCTTTGTTACTTACCAGTAGCTGGCTAACCTCAATCATGTCACTTAACCTCTGTGTGCCTTAATTCCCCTGTAACATAAGAATATTAATAGTGCCTACTTTTAGGGTTACTTTGAGGATCAAACAAAGTAACACTCACAAAGCACTTTGAACATTGCCTTTTATGCATTAAGTACTCAGGAAACGCTAATCCTCTTTATCCACTCCAACCTGTATGCTCAGCAGGAAGAATGGCATTCAGCCTGGCCCCCACCCACCATGGTGTCCAGCTCAGTTTTGCCTTTACCAACTTTACCAGACACGCACTAAAGGAATTCCCTATCTGGCTTTAAATGTCCCCCATACTCTAAGCCTCTTACCTGACTGACAGTTTCCTCCATAGCCCCTCAACACAGTCCTGCCTCCTCACTGGCTCCCAGACATGCTTTGCTCGTTCCTATTCTGTGCCTTCACTCACACAGTTCCTTCTAGCCCTGTCTTTCCCCTTCCATCTCCTACCTCTTATACTTCTCCACTCAAACCTCACCTCCTCTAGGAAGCATTCCCTGATTACCTCAGTTTACTCTAATCATTCCCTTCTCTGGATTCTCTCAGCAGGCAAAGTTAGAACCACACAATTGAATACACACTGATATTTTTCACAGCAATTTCTTGGGTCCTGGTCCCCTCTCCTCAAGAAGTTTGGCAGGGCATGATAGCTCACGCTTGTAAACCCAGTGCTTTGGGAGGCTGAGGCAGGTGGATCACTTGAGCCCAGGAGTTCAAGATCAGCCTGGCCAACATGGTGAAACCCCATCTCTACTAAAAATACAAAAATTAGCCTGGCACCTGTAATCCCAGCTACTCGTGAGGCTGAGGCAGGAGAATCGCTTGAACCCAGGAGGTGGAGGTTGCAGTGAGCCAAGATTGCGCCACCGCACTCTAGCCTGGGCAACAGAGCAAGACTGCATCTCAAAAAAAAAAAAAAAGAAAAGAAAAAGAAAGAAAAGGAAGTTGTTACATCTCTTATTAACAGTTGGGATGTTTTCACCTTCTTTGCCACCTGCCCCTATGCTGAGTTCCTAGTAGGTGTCCAGTACTCGTGGACTGATGTATACATATGCCCAGGTTTGGCTAAGGGAAGCTGAGGCCCTGGCTCCCTTTCTAGCAGTGAGCTCAAACTGGAGTGAAAAACAGAAGGCAGGGGACCACTTTCTCTGCTGACTTCCCTTATTTATCCACTGCCATTCAGGCCACAGAACCCAGCAGGGTCTTCAGATAAGTCATCAGTGGTGCAGACCTTGAAACTGGACTGATCTCTCAGTTAATGGTTGGCATTCTCTGTTTATCTTCATGATTGCCAAGATTCATTGCTGCACATGATACACTTTGCTGTTCAACTGCCTTGGCCTTGAGGGTAGAAAGCAATTTCTGAGGTTTTAGGGTGCTGGGATAGGATCAGAGATACTTTGGTGTGTCCCCAGCCACTCAGGATGTGGACAATAAGCAAGTGACGAAAGGGTACCCTGGGACTGCCATATGGGTGGGAAGCACTGCCGGCTCCCACCTTGACCTCAGGTGCCAGCAGGCATTACCCATGGCTTTTTCCTCCCCATTGTCATATAATGTGTTTATTTATTTATAATTTTTGTAGGGATGAGGTCTTACTATGTTGCCGAGGCTGGTCTCAAACTCCTGGCTTCAAGTGATCCTCCTGCCTTGGCCAAAGTGCTGGGATTACAGGCCTGAGCCACCATGCCCAGTCCTGTCATCGTTTTAGAGGCTGGGAGCTAGAAGGAGTGACCGGGATGGTAGCCGGTACAGGATCCCTCTCTGCAACTTGCCCGCACTGTGGATCTCCCTAAGGCCAGGGCGTGGGGGAAGCCTGAGGGATGCTGAAGAGCACAGGTCCAGCTCAGTCTCCCAGAGAGACTAAACCTGGGTGGGTGACAATGATGCCTGTCTTCCTTTGGGACAGGGCAGCGACTCCAGGCTATGTGATCTGTCTCTCCAAATCCATTGGGAGCTCAGAGGATCAATCCTGTTTAATGATTGTGAGTGTGAGGAGGTAGGGCTGGTTAATGTTTGTCTGGTTCCTCCTGGGCTGTGGGCCATTTCTGGCTCCGGCCCTAAGCTCATTGTCCCTCCCCTGGGCTGGGCTGACAGTACCTGGTGGCATAGGGCAGACACGCCTGCAGACATTCTCTGGGAAAGGGCAGCAGCAGCCAGGTGTGGCAGTGACAGGGAGGTGAGGAGACTGGGGGCTGAGGGAGGTGGGCCAGTGAGGGCTGATGTGGCTCAGGGGGCCGGAAATGGGGGCCGGAAATGGGGCTGGGTCTTGCCTTCTCTTGACTTCCACCTTCAACCACCTAGGTCCCTTCCATGCTTCCCTCTGAAGCTGGGGTGAGGCCCGTCCTGCCAGGTGCCAGGCTTGCTTAGCCTCTCTCTGCAGCCTCTTTCCAGGTTCAAAGTTGCTTCTCCTCTCACTCTTTTTCTTCCAGCCAAAGATTCCCCTCATTCCCATAGGGACAGATTTGCAGGAAGACTTGAGGGACCCCCTAGGTGCAAGGTGGCCAAGTTTGTCTCTCTGAGACATTTCCTGCCACACAGGGTTAGGGTTTGGTGCGAATGTTGGGCACTGCCAGGTGCTGTTTTCCTTCCCTGATTACAAGGCAAACCAGGCATGCACCCAACACGGGGCTGCATGTGGATGAACAGAGGAGCGTGCTCAGCAGGTTGCAGAGGGTTAGCCAACAGGGCCAAGGATTTGGGAGGGTGCGTTTCAATTTTCTTGAAGGAGGCAGACTGCCTCAAGCTGAACTTGGAGTAATTGATGGTTTGGAGATCTAAAGGAGGGATGTCCCCCAGCTGTTTGAAAGTTGTTGCATCTGTTGGGAATGGCACAGCAGAATGTGTGGACTTAGAAAATGAGATGAGGAGAGGACAATATAGACAAGAGGGGTTTTAACGGATGGAAGTATAGATAAGAATGCAGTCTGGCAATGGAAAAGGGACCCAAGCTTGGGTGAGGGGCGAATACGATTCCTAGGCCGAGCTCCAGCACTTGCTTATCACCTGTGTAAAAAGTTAATCAGCTTCTGTGAGTCTTCTTTGCCTCACCTGTGAATTGCAGACAATAGCTCATGGCTAACGGGGTTGTTGTGAGCATGAGAGTCCATGAACATACACGCAGGGGCACTCCATCAATGGCAGCTGTTATAATAACCCACGCAGAGAGCAATAGCAAGTCAGGTGGGTGATGGAGGAGTAAGAGAGTAGTGTCCAAACAATGGGGAAGGGAGCTGGCATGAGCAGAAGCTCTCTGAAAATCCGCAGCAGAGAGGGGGAAAGAACGAATTGCAATGAGTTAGACTGGACCTGACCCAAGCCTGGCCACAGAAGATGTATGGCAGGGTGGAGAGGCTAGGTCCAGTGACTGAGATACTGTAGAACTGCAGGGCAGAGGCAGGAGAGAGAAGCCAGGGAAGGGGAAGAGGGCTGGAGGAATTTGGCCTTAGCCACACAAAACTGATGAAGTCATCCAGAAATTCCTAAGGAAATCTCAAAGAGAGCCCCATGTCCCTTCTTGACCAGTGACTGCCTGTGAAATGGGGAAGGGAGCATGGGACCAAGGCTGAATGCAACCTCATCCAGCCCAGCCCATTCCTCTTCCCCAAACCCCCAAATACAAGCATATTCCTGGAGTTGGAAGGAAGGATGGGGGGCAGAAAGAGAGACAGAGACAGACTAGACGAACCTGTGTGTGTGCGCGTGCACATGTGCCAGCACACGCAGGAAAGTGTATGGGTTTTTGAATAGTAGGCCTGGTCTCAGAATGCAAACTCCTTAAAGGAAGAGAGGCTGCCATAAGCAGTGCTGTATACAAAGACTTTGAGGTAAGAAAATAAATTTGGAACTTAATTCTACCACTTAGCAGCAGTGCAATTGCCGTTGAAGGAAGTTACTTAACCTCTCTGAGTCTCAACTTCCTTGTCTGAAAAATGGGGATAATATTACAGGACTGCTGTAAAACTAAGTGAGATCAGCTGATTTTGAACTGTGCTTGAGTGCTAGGACAAATCTAAATTTGGGGACAGGGCCAGAGACTGACAAGGCCAGAGAAGTCCTGTCTAATTAAACATGAGAGGAGCAAAACACGCCTGGAGCAACACAGAGTACATCAATACCTGGACTTTAACCCAAAGTCACAAAAACAGTTTGGATTTCAAAATCAGGTCACTCCCCTGAATGTTTTTAGAATGAAATCCTTGAGGTATCAATGTTGACATAGGGATCAGTTCTCCTTCCAAAGGGATCAGCAAAAATTGAGATCACAGCACCCAAACAAGGGTCCTTAGAGGCCCCACAGGGAGCTACTGGCTATGTCCCAGAAGCCTCGAGAAGAAAAGAGGCGGAGAGCTACAAGAACCCAGAAACTCGGTGGTGACCAGGATGTCCGTGGCACATCCCTGAAGGGCAGAGAAAAGAGAACAGCTAAGGTTTGCTTTATAGTTTGAGGAAACAGCCCAGGAAAAGTAAGGAAAGGAAAAGCAGACCAACTCAAGAGGCAACAGAAAATTCTGGGGCTGAAGGAGAGGAAAAGAATTGTCAATTGCTACAACAAAAGCACCTTAGGAAAAAAAGCTTGGCCAGGCACAGTGGCTCGAACCTATAATCCCAGCACTTTGGGAGGCCAGGGCAGGCAGATCACCTGAGGTCGGGAGTTCAAGACCAGCCTGACCAACATGGAGAAACCCCGTCTTTATTAAAAATACAAAATTAGCTGGGTGTGGTGGCACATCTGTAATCCCAGCTACTCGGGAGACTGAAGCAGGAGAATCACTTGAACCCGGGAGGCGGACATTGTGGTGAGCCGAGATTGCACCATTGCACTCTAGCCTGGGCAACAAGAGCGAAAATCTGTCTCAAAAAACAAACAAACAAAAAAACAAGTGCTGGGATTACAGGCATGAGTCACCGCACCTAGCCAGATTATTCTTTTATTATTTATTTCTTCTTTTTTTTCTTTTTTTTTTTGAGACAGAGTCTCTGTCACCAGGCTGGAGTATAGTGGCACCATCTCGGCTCACTGCAACCTTCACCTCCTCAGTTCAAGCAATTGTCCTGCCTCAGCCTTCCCAGTTGCCGGGACTACAGAGGTGCACCACCACACTCAGCTAATTTTTGTATTTTTAGTAGAGACAGAGTTTCACCATGTTGGTCAGGATGGTCTCGATCTCTTGACCTCGTGATCTTCCCACCTTGGCCTCCCAAAGTGCTGGGATTACGGGCGTGAGCCACTGCACCCAGCCTTTTTTCTTTTTTTTTTTTTGAGACAGAGTCTCATTCTGTCACCCAGGCTGAAGTGCAGTGGCACGATCTTGGCTCACTACAACTTCTGCCTCCTGGGTTCAAGTGATTCTCCTGCCTCAGCCTCCCTAGTAGCTGGAACTACAGGCATTGCCACCACATCCAGGTAATTTTTGTATTTTGAGTAGAGATGCGGTTTCAACATGTTGGTCAGGCTGGTCTCGAACCCCTGACCTGAGGTGATCCACCTGCCTCGGCCTCCCAAAGTGTTGGGATTACAGGCGTTAGCCCCTGCACTGGCCTTTTCTTTTCTTTTCTTTTCTTTTTTAACATAACAGAGATGGGGGTCTCACTATATGGCCCAGGATGGTCTCCAACTCCTGGACTCAAGCAATCCACTTACCTCACCCTCCCAAAGTGCCAGGATTCCAGGTGTGAACCACTGCACCTGGCCTAGGTTATTTTTATTTATTTATTTTTTGAGATGGAGGCTCGCTCTTTCCCCCAGGCTGGAATGCAGTGGTACAATCTTGGCTCACTGCAACCTCTGCCTCCCGGATTCAAGCAATTCTCTGCCTCAGCCTCCTGAGTAGCTGGGATTACAGGTACCCACCACCACGCCCAGCTAATTTTTTGTTTGTATTTTTAGTAGAGATGGGGTTTTACCATCTTAGCCAGGCTGGTCTTGAACTCCTGACCTCTTGATCCATCCGCCTCGGCCTTCCAAAGTGCTGGGATTACAGGCATGAGCCACCACGCCCGGCCCAGTTATTCTTAATAATTCTCTTTGGCCACTTGTTTTAGAGTGTAACACATCTCACCACCTGAAGCATTTCTTTATGGCTAACTGTGGTGCCTAGTGCAGCAGCTTTGCATGTAGACTGCGAGGCTTGGGAGAAAGGGCACCCATACATACCCCTGCTTCCCCATGCTGGTTAGCACATGACATGAACTTACTAAGGCTTTTAATTTATTTATTTATTTTAGCTAAATGAAGAAACCTTGTTTTGAGAAGTAATCTATGTCCTGTGAACTGTCCTTCTTTCCCCAGATTCTTTCATCTCATTTCCCAACTTTTGCAATTGCTAGGTTTGTTGTTGTTGTTGTTGTTGTTATTGTTTTAACAGAGACAGGGTTTCACCATGTTGGCCAGACTGGTCTCGAACTTCTGACATCAGGTGATCTGCTCGCCTCGGCCTCCCAAAGTACTGGGATTACAGGCGTGAGCCACTGCGCCCAGCCAATGCAGTTGCTGTTACCCTAACCCTTTCCTCTATAGCACAGAGGACCACCCAGGGCTGAATATGAGGCAGCTTTCACTTGCCCTGCTGTGGAGCAGGCTCTGGGGTCAGGAAATGACTCCTTGGACCATTGCATTTCCTGTGGTCCAGGGCTTCAAGTCCTCTTCACATCCAGTTTCCTGCTTCTAGCATGATCTCCTTGCAACTTCATGGCAGAAGTGGCAGTAGGTGGGAGAAGCCTTCTTAGCCTGCCTAAGGGATGGAGGAGAATTTCCTCCTTAGAGCAACTGGCAAGCTCCTGAAACCACGAGGTTGCAATATGCACTTCAGGCTGGGGGATGGGCAGCAATGGGGTGTCAGACAGACCCTATGGGTCAACAACAGGACTTGGGGCTGCTCAAGGTGGCTCACGCCTGTAATCCCAACACTTTGGGAGGCAAAGGTGGGAGGATCGCTTGAGCCCAGGAGTTCAAGACCAGCCTGGGCAATATAGCGAGCCCTCCATCTCTCCAAAAAAAAAAAAACAAAAGAAAGAAAGAAAAGAAAAATTAAGCATGGTGACACATGCCTGTGGTCCCAGCTAATTGCTCTGTCTCCCAGGCTAGAGTGCAGTAGTGCGATCGTGGCTCACTGCAACCTCCGCCTCCCAGGTTCAAGTGATTCTGCCACCTCAGCCTCCTGAGTAGCTGGGATTACAGGCATATGCCACCACGCCTGGCTAATTTTTTGTATTTTTAGTAGTGACGGGATTTCACTATGTTGGCCAGGTTGGTTTTGAACTCCCAACCTGAAGTGATCCACCTGCCTCAGCCTCCCAAAGTGCTGGGATTACAGGTGTGAGCCACTGCGCCTGGCCCCTGAGACGATCCTTAACCCCTTTGGTCACCAACTATGATCCTGGAGCTGGGCTAAGAACTTTGGCAGGTTGTCTCATTGAACTTTACAATAAACCTGGGTATTAACCACATTTGTAGATGAATAAGCAGGTTCGGAGCAGTTCAGTAGCTAGCCCAAGGTCACATTAAGTGAAGAACCAGGATCCTAAACCTAAAGCTATGTGACTGTAGGTAAGCCTGATTCCTGACCGTCTGTTTGCTCAGTGACCTTTTGCTTTCTCCTTCTGGCTTATGCTCACCATGTACCCAGCTGACCACCCCCTGCATGAGTTCTCTTTCCTGAAACTCAAAGAGACAGTCAAGGTTTGCTCTGTGACACTGGAGTTGGAATGTGCTCACAGATTCGCCTTTGCTTTTTTTTTTTTTTTTGAGAAGGAGTGTCTTGCTCTGTCACCCAGGCTGGCATGCAGTGGCTCAGTCTCCGCTCACTGCAACCTCCACCTCCCAGGTTCAAGCGATTCTCCTGCCTCTCAGCCACCCAAGTAGCTGGGACTAGAGACGCGTGTCGCCACACCTGGCTAATTTTTTTTTTGTATTTTTAGTAGAGATGGGGTTTCACCTTGTTAGCCAGGATGGTCTCCATCTCCTGACCTCATGATCCGCCTGCCTCAGCCTCCCAAAGTGCTGGGATTACAGGTGTGAGCCATCGCACCTAGCCTTTTTTTTTTTTTTTTTAATGGCTAGCCTTTGCTTTTTGCAGACACTACCTGCAAAGCCCCAAGGAGCCTGCTGTAGAAAGACTTCTGTCTCAGATACATTGTTTCATCCTACCTATCCTACTGCTTTGTAACAGTGTGACCTTGAGGAGTTACTTATCTGAGCTTCAGCTTCCTCATCTGGAAAATGGGATAACAGGCTTGCTAAATGGGTGGAAAGAAAAATGTATGGAACAATGCTCAGCACAGTTCCTGACTTGATAAATATGAGCTCTTTCCTCTCCATATTCTGGAGGGGATCTAAGCCTCAGGGAAAATCCTGCTGACCTTAAGTTTCTGATGGGACCATGGGGGAGGGACTCAGCCCAGAGCCTCCCGATCCCCTGGGGTCCCCTCTTCACATACACCTGCCTGTGTTTCAGCTCCCCCCGCCACGGCCATTCTTCTGGTGGGGCTATGGGGCGGGTGCGGCGATGGACCGGGCGGGCACAGAACAGGTGGGTGCAGGCTGGGTGTCCGGCGCTGGGACACAAGTGCTCTGTGTGTAGGGTGGGCGGAAGTCAGGGCGTTTGATCTGAATTCTAAAGGGCGTTGTTCAGAGCCCCACAAAGGTCTCATTGTGCAGACACTGGGTATAAAGCAGCATATGACTCCCCAGCACCGGGCGGTGATGAATTGGGACGCAGGCGCGGAGCCCAGGGACCACTCCCCCTGCACAGACATGAGACCATAGGGGACCTGTCTGGGTGGCCTCAGGGATAGGCGCTCCCCAAGGTAAGAGGGCTTTGTTGAGTTTGCCCCAGGTCTGGAGTTAAGGAGCTAGGGGACAGCCATAGGGGATGGCTGATATCGGAACAAGATGGGCTTGGCAAAGAAAGGGGCTGGTAAGGAAAGAATGTTGGATGAAAGCAAAGAAGGGGGATGGGCCTCAGGGAGGTCAAGTCAAGTGAGTGAGGAGGAGGAGAGGCTGGCAAGGGAGATGGGATGATGAGAAAGTCATAACCATCCTTCCTTTCCTGCAACTGGCTCTCGGAAGAGTTGGGGGGACAGACAGTGCTATGGTGCCCAGCTTTCCGCCCCAGCTTTCTGATAGCTTGCTTCATGGCTGGTGTTTTGCAGGTGTGAATGAGGCAGGATGAACTGGACAGGTTTGTACACCTTACTCAGTGGCGTGAACCGGCATTCTACTGCCATTGGCCGAGTATGGCTCTCCGTCATCTTCATCTTCAGAATCATGGTGCTGGTGGTGGCTGCAGAGAGTGTGTGGGGTGATGAGAAGTCTTCCTTCATCTGCAACACCCTCCAGCCTGGCTGCAACAGTGTCTGCTATGACCAGTTCTTCCCCATCTCCCATGTGCGGCTGTGGTCCCTGCAGCTGATCCTAGTTTCTACCCCAGCTCTCCTCGTGGCCATGCACGTGGCTCACCAGCAACACATAGAGAAGAAAATGCTGCGGCTTGAGGGCCATGGGGACCCCCTACACCTGGAAGAGGTGAAGAGGCACAAGGTCCACATCTCAGGGACACTGTGGTGGACCTATGTCATCAGCGTGGTGTTCCGGCTGCTGTTCGAGGCTGTCTTCATGTATGTCTTTTATCTGCTCTACCCTGGCTATGCCATGGTGCGGCTGGTCAAGTGTGACGTCTACCCATGCCCCAACACAGTGGACTGCTTTGTGTCCCGCCCCACGGAGAAAACCGTCTTCACCGTCTTCATGCTAGCCGCCTCCGGCATCTGCATCATCCTCAATGTGGCCGAGGTGGTGTACCTCATCATCCGGGCCTGTGCCCGCCGAGCCCAGCGCCGCTCCAATCCGCCCTCCCGCAAGGGCTCGGGCTTTGGCCACCGCCTCTCACCTGAATACAAGCAGAATGAGATCAACAAGCTGCTGAGCGAGCAGGATGGTTCCCTGAAAGACATACTGCGGCGCAGCCCTGGCACCGGGGCCGGGCTGGCTGAGAAGAGTGACCGCTGCTCGGCCTGCTGATGCCACATACCAGGCAACCTCCCATCCTGCCCCCGCCCCTGCCCTGAGTGCGCCCCTCCTTCTCCCCTGCCGGTGCACAGGCCTCTGCCTGCTGGGGATTACTCGATCAAAACCTTCCTTCCCTGGCTACTTCCCTCCCTCCCAGAGCCTTTCATTTGAGGAGCTGGAGGGCTGGGGAGTTGGAGGCCACCTATGCCAGTGCTCAAGGTTACTGGGGGTGTGGGCTGCCCTTGTTGCCTGCACCCTTCCCTCTCCCTCTCCCTGGGATCACTGGGGACAAGAGACAGGATGCTCCAACAGCGTCTGCAATTATGAAACTAATCTTAACCCTGTGCTGTCAGATACCCTTTTCTGGAGTCACATCAGTGGGGAGGGATGTGGGCAAGCAGAGTGGAGGGCGGGGGTGCTGTGGACGTGTGGGTGGAGAAAGGAGGGTGGTGAGCACTAGTAAATGAGGAATAGTGCTTGCTGGCCACAAGGAAAAGGAGGAGGTGTCTGGAGTGAGGGAGTCAAGGAGGGAGAAGCAGGCAGATAAGTTGGAGTGGGGGTTGCTCAGGGCCGCCTCTGCCTCTAGTCCCCAAGGCCTCTCTCTGCCTAAAATGTTACACATTAAACAGGATTTTACAGTAAATGAAGAGGTGGCTTGTGTGTTTTTCAAGTTCTTTCTCCTGCAACGTCTGACCTCCCCCAGGATGAGCTGGCGTTGTTTTTTTTTTACTGATTAAGAAAGGAACAGGGCAAAATAAGTAGTTACTTGAGAAGCTGAAGCTGCAAATGAGGAACCGCTGCGCTGGGAGCCTCAGAGCCAGCCCACGAGCCCTTCCGCCTGTTGATTTTGTTGTGATGGTTCATGTCTTTTTCGTTGTCTGATAACAGATTTATTGGGATTTCATTTACATACCTCCTTCCTCTGATTTTAGAAAGATTAAAAATGACAACTCTCTCTGGAGAGACAAGAAATGATCGGGAAATTTCTCATGCCCCAGAATGTGGCACACATTCCCTGGGTACCTTGGCAAGAGCCCCTCCCCTACACACCTGGAGATCTATCTCCTTACTCCCTCCAAACTCAGCATCCCCTACAAGCTGATGCCCCACAGACCACCTGTTGGGTTGCACGATGATCCTAACCCCTTTCCTCTGGACATAGCCCCTAATTCCATCCACTTTCCCCGTTTCCTTCTCTCGGGAATTAATGCCTCCCCCACAGGTCAAACACTTCACAGCAGCAGTTAGTTTCCTCACCAGCATCACCCTCCCCTGTCAGCTGTGGTCGGAAAAGCCCCAGGCTGAGACTTGGAAAAGCTGTGCTCCCATCCTGGTGCTATTAATTAGCAGCAAGGCATTCCCTTCCCCGAGCCTCAGCTTCCTTATGAGCAAATGAAAACTGCCCCAGCACCTCTCCCAGCTCCCTTCAACACTCTGTGCTTCTGGGATTCCTAAAAGACTTCTCCAAGTAACAAGGCCTTGCAGGGGTTTCCTCAGAGTCACTGCCCCCACAAATAGCTCATCAGAGTAAAAGTTTTCCCCCAAGTTTACCTCCTCAGCTTCCTCACCTCTGAATAGGAGAAATTATTTGCCACTCCCTCTCAGAGTATCTGGACTTCATGTAGGAAGTACTGGATATCAGAAAGGAAGAGAAAATCAGACACAATCTCATCTGAATTGTTCTCCCTTGAAACAGTTTGTCCTCTTCAGAGAGAAAGCATGGAAGTTTTCCTTATTTGAGATTTCTCCTTTAGAAAAAAAAAAAAAAAAAGGAAAGCTGGATGTGGTGGCTCATGCCTGTAGTCTCAGTATTTTGGAAGGCCAAGGGGAGAGGATCACTTGAGCCCAATAGTTTGAGACCAGTCTGGGCAACATAGGGAGACCCCATCTCTAAAAAAAAAAAAAAAAAAAAAAAAAAAAAAAAAAATTAGGTGTGGTGGCATGTGCCTGTAGTCCCAATCTATTTCGGAGGCTGAGGTGGGAGGATAACTTGAGCCCAGGAGGAGGTTGAGGCTGCAGTGAGACATGATCATGCCACTGCACTCCATCCTGGGCCAGAGAGTGAGACCCTGTCAAGATGGAAGGAAGAAAGGAAGGAAGGAAGAAGGAAGGAAGGAAGGAAGGAAGGAAGGAAGGAAGGAAGGAAGGAAGGAAGGAAGGAGGGAGGGAGGGAGGGAGGGAGGGAGGGAGGGAAAGGAGACTTTGGGAGACCAAGGCAAGAGGATTGCTTGAGGCCAGGAGTTTGAGACTAGCCTGGACAGCATAGCAAGACCCTATCTCTATTTGTTTTTAAATTGAAAGAAAGGAGAGAGGCCGGGCATTGTGGCTCACACCTGTAATCCAAGCACTTTGGAGGCCAAGGCAGGTGGATCACGAGGTCAAGAGATCGAGGCCATCCTGGTCAACATGGTGAAACCCCGTCTCTACTAAAAATACAAAAAATTAGCCGGGCATGGTGGCGCGTGCCTGTAATCCCAGCTACTCAGGAGGCTGAGGCAGGAGAATTGCCTGAACCCAGGAGGCGGAGGTTGCGGTGAGCCGAGATCACGCCATTGCACTCCAGCCTGGGTAACAAGAGCGAAACTCCATCTCAAAAAAAAGAAAAAAAAATCTATCCTGGTCCTGGGCGGAAGCAGGGAACCTCATGCCCTCTCCACATTAATAAATGCTAACCCCATCATCATGTCAGAAATGTAGTTTCTCTTCAAAAATCCTACCAATCCTCCTTGGAAAGAGGCTCCAACTTCAAGGCTTTTCTCTCCAGGGGGCAGTGGTGGGACAATAAAGCTATCAGGCTGGGTATTACAGCCCAAGTGGGGGACACAGGATTCCTGGGTTCCATGAACTAGGTAGGAGCAGGCCCAAGGAACTCTGAGGGAAGCTTCTGGACACAATGTCTCAGGAAGCTAGGAGGCAGAGTTAGACTGATGTCAAGCCTGACTTTTCAAATCTGAGGCTCTGTCACAAGAGTATAAGAGAGAGACGGCCGGGTGCAGTGGCTCATGCCTGTAATCCTAGCATTTTGGGAGGCCAAGGCAGGCGGATCACAAGGTCAGGAGTTCCAGACCAGCCTGGCCAATGTGGTGAAGCCCCATCTCTACTAAAAATATAAAAATTAGCTGGGCGTGGTGGTGTGTGCCTGTAGTCCCAGCTACTCAGGAGGCTGAGGCAGGAGAATCACTTGAACCTGAGAGCCAGAGGTTGCAGTGAGCCAAGACCCCACTACTGCACTCCAGCTTGGGTGACAGAGTAAGATTCCATCTCAAATAAATAAATAAATAAATAAATAAATAAATAAATAAATAAATAAAACAAAATGGCCGGGGACCGTGGCTCACACCTGTAATCCCAACACTTTGGAAGGCCGAGGCAGGCGGATCATGAGGTCAGGAGTTTGAGACCAGCCTGAACATGGTGAAACCCCGTCTCTACTAAAAAATACAAAAATTAGCTGGGCGCGGTGGCAGGCGCCTATAATCCCAGCTACTCGGGAGGCTGAGGCAGGAGAATCGCTTGAACCCAGGAGGCGGAGGTTGCAGTGAGCCAAGATTCCGCCATTGCACTCCAGCCTGGGAGACAGAGGAAGACTCTGTCTCAAAAAAAAAAAAAAAAAAAAAAAAAGAGAGATAGAGAGACAGAGAAACATTGAGGCTAATGGCAAATCGGGCGTGCTCTCTGTCACGCAGTAGAAATTCAATGTGCTGAGTGACCTGGGTTGTGGAGAGGACACTGGAATTAGGAGACCTCGCTCTTCAGTGATGAGCTCTGTCCCCTCCCCTTGGACACATGATATTTACCCTCTCCAGATTGGTTTCCTCATCTCCAATAGATAGTTAATAGTAACCTCCTCTACCTCCTTCACAGAACATTTGTGAGAATCAGACAAGATGGGTTCAAAAGCTGGTTGTGAACTAACTGTAAAGTAAGGTAAGACAGTATCATAAGCACCGAGACCATGGCCTTAAACTAGAATTCTCAATGAGCCAGAAAGGAGTGAGGCTGGTTCAGGTAGGCTGAAGGTAGTGGAAACAATTTGGCAATAATAGTGTTGGCTCCCCCCCGGAGTGGACAGCAGTCCAAACAGCAAAGTCCAAGAGAGGTTGCAAACTTGAGCGTGATTCATTTAAGGGTCAATATTCAAGGGGTCTGATTAGGGGGTAGAAAAGGACTAGTAACAGGAAGTTCTTGCATACTGTAGCTCATGGAACTGGTCCTTTTAGGAAATCTATGATCTTTTAGAGGTGTCTATGTGCAGAGACGCCAGGAGCTGGGGGGCAAGGGAACAGAGGCAGATGAGCTAGAAGAGTAGTCAAGGCCTCCAGCCAGCTGAGCTGGGATTTCAAAGCAAGCTGCGGTATCCATAGAGAATTGGCATGGCAACCACAAACTGGTTCAGATGCTCAATCAGATAGCCTGGGTGCACACAGTGGGGGCTAGAGGGGAATGCTTGCTCCATTTACTGATTCCATAGTACTTAAATGCCAGACCTGGCCTACAGTGCAGAAGGGGCTACACAATTGTACCAAGCTGAACTCCTGTTGATTCCTGGACTAGGCTAGAGGGAATGTACAGGATCAAGTGGAGAAAGGATCGAGGACATTCCAGCAAGGGGCAAATAAAAGAGGCAAAAAATACCCTACAGATATGACAGGAGTTGCTAGGTGCAGTGGCTCATGCCTGTAATCCCAGCAAGTTGGGAAGCCAAGCCAGGCAGAACACTTGAAGCCAGGAGTGCAAGATCAGCCTGGCCAACATGGTGAAACACTGTCTCTACTAAAAATACAAAAATTATCCAGACATGGTGGCACACGCCTGTACTCCCAGCTACTCAGGAGGCTGAGGCAGGAGAATTGCTTGAACCCGGGAGGTGGACGTTGCAGGAAGACAAGACCACGTGACTGCTCTCCAGCCTGGGTGACAGAGTCCCTCACCAAAAAAAAAGGCCAGGCATGGTGGCTGACATCTGTAATCCCAGCACTTTGGGAAGCCGAGGCAGGTGGATCCCCTGAGGTCAGGAAGTTGAGACCAGCCTGGCCAACATGGTGAAACCCCGTCTCTACTAAAAATACAAAAATTAGCCGGGTGTGGTGGTGGGCGCCTGTAATTCCAGCTACTTGGAAGGTGGAGGCAGGAGAATCGCTAGAAAAGGGGAGGCAGGGGAGGCTAGAACAGGTTGTAATGAGCTGAGATCACGCCACTGCACTCCAGCCTGGGCGACAGAGCAAGATACTTTCTCAAAAAAAAAAGGATGATGGGGTAATACTTTCAAACTTATGTGTTTGGAAGCTCAGCCACCAGCTGCATGGAGTCTGAACTCGGGATTGAAGACAGATTGACCAGATACTGCCAGGCACAGTGGCACACCTATAGTCCCAGCTACTCGGGAGGCTGAGGTGGGAGGATTCCTTGAGCCTAGGAATTTAAGACCAATCTTAAATTGGCGACATATTGAGATTCTGTCTCTTTTTTTTTTATTATTATTATTGAGACGGAGTTTTGCTCTTGTTGCCCAGGCTGGAGTGCAGTGGCATGATTTTGGCTCACTACAACCACCACCTCCCAGGTTCAAGTGATTCTCCTGCCTCAGCCTTCCGAGTAGCTGGGATTACAGGCATGCACCACCATGCCCAGCTAATTTTGTAT